GCATTACAAAAGGTCACCAGGTCACTGGATAAAATGACAATCACAATGCACGAAATTATTCAGCATGCACTTCCTGTGTAACTCAACATATGCTGAAAGGTGGAAACAAACACCTAATGCTCAACAGGAAATTGATCGAAGGCAAACCACCACATGCTTGACGAGTAGTTCATGTAAACTGGGTGTCTTATTTTGTGGTTTGAAAGCATAACAGAGACAAGAGGCTTTTCCATGCACTTATTTATAGACGTTACCTATTTATTCAGTTCACTGAAGTCACCAGAGGAGGGCATCAAACACATGACCACATCTGAGAGGAACCTTCGCCACGACGCTATAAACAAACCACTCATGTGGATAATCCCAAAATTGTCGAGGACGAAAATAGTTTTCGCATATCCTGCTCAGTATGGAGCTACACTGTCATGCCATGCTCAGAAAATATTCCAGCAATATGTCCAGGCGGCTTGTGTGGGTGATTGCAGCTGATGTGTTCTGAAAGGTTAAAAAGTTTTTGTGCCACCTACTGATGCCTTTCCATTCCATTTATCAAATGGATTTATGAAATCAAAATTCATCTGAAAGTAATGAGAAAATAGTATCACTCCGCTTGCACGTTTGTTTAGTACTCATGAAACCGTGCAGATGGGCTCTTTTGGGCTGTTGACGTTGATGGTGTGGACATGTGTCTGCGTGTCTGGGAATGGAGTGCTTTAAGGATCGATCTTTGTCTGAAAGGATGTGCAGTCAGCTGACCTCTTCACCCTCTTGACCTCAGGGCTTCATGTGAGCCGGCCTCTGGGAGAACATGATGATGAGAGATCACGTTTCCTGTCACCATTTCCAGGGCTGACCGGATTAATTAGTGGTGCTGCTAAGACAAGCATCACTAATGCTGTTGATCATAGGGTTTCTTTCAGTAATCAAATTGATCATTTTTGCCTGAATGTTGAAAACAGGGTGAAACAGTGTGACAAAGACTTGGGAGAAAGATTTTTGAAACAGGTCAGTAAGCAACTACCCAGAACACCAAGCAACCTCTTAACAACACCCCAACATCAACCCAGAGCCCCTAGCAACCACTTAACAACAGCCCCAACATCCACCTAGAACACCTAGCAACCACTTAGCAACTCCCTAACATCCACCCAGAGCACCTAGCAACCACTTAAAACACCCTAACATCCACCCAGAGCACCTAGCAACCACTTAACAACACCCCAACATCCACGTAGAACACCAAGCAACCCCTTAACAACACCCTAACATCCACCAAGAGCACTTAGCAACCACTTAACATCACCCAAACATCCACCCAGAACACCTAGCAACCACTTGACAACACCCTAACATCCACCCAGAACACCTAGTAACCACTTAGCAACTCCTTAACATCCACCCAGAACACCTAGTAACCACTTAGCAACTCCCTAACATCCACCCAAATCACCTAGCAACCACTTAAAACACCCTAACATCCACCCTGAACACCTAGCAACCACTTAACAACACCCCAAAATCCACCCAGAGCACCAAGTAACCACTTATCAACTCCCTAACAACCACCCTGAACAACTAACAACCACTTGACAACACCCTAACATCCACCCAAAACACCTAGCAACCACTTAAAACACCCTGAACACCTAGCAACCACTTAACAACACCCCTACATCCACCCAGAAAACCTAGCAACACCCTAACATCCACCCAGAGCATCTAACAACCACTTAAAAATGACCACATAGCAACACACTAATATCCACCCAGAACACGTAGAAACCTCTTAACACCCTAACATCCACCCTAATATCCACTCAGAGCACCTAGCAACCACTTAACAAGGACCAACTAGCAACACATTAATATCCACCCTGAACAACCAGCAACCACTTGACAACACCCTAACATTCACCCAGAACATCTAGCAACCACTTAACAACACAATAACATCCATGTTGAACACCTAGCAACCATCCAGAACAGCCTAACAGCCACTTAGCAATTCCCTAGCAAATATTTAGTGATGCCTTCACAACACTGAACACCCTAGCCACCATTTGGCAACACATGAACTCTCACCTAGAATACCTTAGCAGCATATTTGTTTGTCATTGTTTGAACACAAACCCTGCCCCAAACTTATGCCACTGGCCTTCAAGCTTTCTGATTGGCTAACATGTGTCAGATTCTCATTTGCTGTTTACATTTGATTTCTCAAGACACATATTTCATACAGTATCTGTCAGGAAGTATGGACATTTTATGCAAAGTATTCCAAAACAAACTGTTTGCAGCCATTTTATAGTTGTAGTTTTATTTTAAGTAACAGTCTGTGAACGCCTAAGCCGATTGTATCTTTGCTACCTAAACAAAGAGAGCGATATCAGTTTGCAGCATGTGGCGGTCCAGATGGACGGGCAGTTCAGTACGGTTGCCAACAGCTGGATGATCCGAGAGCTGCCCTCAACACTACAGTGATATTCCCAGTGGATGAGAGGATGGATACAGGACAAGCCAGCGGCCGAACAGAGAGCAACACTTCCTGCTCAGGACAGGAAAAGCTACCGCTACTCGGTCTTATCACTAATAGCACAGGCGCTCCAGAGAGACAAGGGTACAGCAGAGAGCGGATAATGAGAGGAAGAGGGTTTTAAATCCGTGTGTAAATAAATACCCCTCGAAACCTGGGAATCTCAGGCCACTTGAGACAAGCTTGATCGCTCTGAAAACACAGACCATACAAAGAGCAAATCTGACTTGGGTTTCACGTTAGTTCAGAAGCTACCGGGTGTCTTGCATTCATGTCAAATTTCCATGGTTTGGTCTTCAGGGATTAGGACATGCTATTCATTGACTACTTCAGCAGAAACTTGCAGCACACATAACCAGAGCTTCTCCCTTTAAAGTTCAAAACTAAAGACTTCAACATATTACATGTTTACTTCCCAATTTTGATGTTAAAACGGGCATATCGCATAGACAAAAGCGAGCAGCCGTGAAATTTTTGGGAAACAGGCGTCTACATCAGTCTGAGGGACAAATGCATCACAAGGCTGGCCGCAAGGCCACTTCCTCATGGATGTGAGAAGAGGGCATTTCCTCCCAAATCTCCACCATTGGCTCTGCCATGTCCACAAAACGATCAAATCCTTGAAAAACTCTCAATGAATGCATCTTTCAGTTTCAATGAAGAAACTTCTTGTTATTTAGTCCATGACGAGGCAAAAATACGGTAAATTATCACTCATTCCAGTTCTAGTCACTTTTAGTAGGCAAAACCTGGTTTTATAGCCTGATGACACCTTTTTAAATCTACTGGTGCGTTAAAGGTCACATATTGTACACCTTTCTGGAGTTTTATTTCAGGTTTTGATGTCCTTAAAAATATATATTTGCGGTATCAGTACCAAAAACCATCTCAATATATTTTTTACAGCTGCTCTCTCAGGAGCTCTGCTGAGAACAGGTACTTTATGCAGGCTGTGTGCAGTTTACTGTGGACTGACTGTTTTGAAACGTATATGGTAGTTACAAAGCACCTAGACCTCAGTTATCATGAAAAAAAGCCAGGAAATTTCAGTTTTGACAATATGGGACCTTTAAAGAGCCCAAAACCAATACAGTCATCTGAAGAACTTATAATAACCCTTTTAGTCAACTCTTGAAAAGTGGACCTTGATAAGAAGAAGCAAAGGATCCTTTAAAGAAATTTTAAGGCCATACATGGCAGCAGATATGCAGTGTTATTCCACCCACTCAGAAAACACACACCATCACTTTATCCTCCCTTTCTGTTTCCCAAACCCAAAATATTACAAATCATGTCCAAGCCATTTAAAGCCTCTCGAGAGTTCTCTTGTCTCTTGTTAAGTATTTGACACAATCATATCTGACACAAACATTCAGAGACAAGTGTGGACTTTTGTTGAAATATGCATCTAAATGTATTATAAATCTATAAATGTATTCTGTCACATGTATCTTGTAGCACTGATTGGTGGGTTTTATGACAGTTATTCTATAATTGTTATATAGACAGAATTATTTTACATGTTGCATTAATTACATTGTAATAACATGATTCATAGTCCACAAATTCTAGTCACTTTTGGTAGGCAAAACCTGGTTTTACAGCCTGATGGCGTCGTTTTAGATCTACTGGTGCGTTAAAGAACCCAAGCCAACACAGTCATCTGAAGAACTTATAATAACCCTTTTAGTCAACTCTTGAAAAGAAGCAGCTAAGGAACCTTTGAAGAACATTTAAGAGAGTGCATGGCAGCAGATATCCAATCTTATTCCACCCACCCAGAACACACACACCAACCATCACTTTATCCTCCCTTTCCGCTTCCCAAACCCAAAATATTACAAATCCCATCCAAGCCATTTAAAGCCTCCCGAGAGTTCCCTTGTCTAACATCTCGAGACATCTCTCATTTTGCCTTTTCTAAGTCATGGGACTGTCATTTATCCCAGACTGACACAGATGCACATATGCCGTCTGACTCACTTCAACTCAGGGTCGGTCTGTTTTCAATTTTTGCACCCCTCCACCCATAAAAAGAGACGTTACCTCCACAAACAACAAAACAAGTGAAGAAAACAGCTTGCATGCTGCTAAAAGTCCCCCTCCTTTTAAGACGCACACCGAGGCAGCTAACAAAAGCCACTCTCCCTGAGACTCCTAAACTCTTATCAGCGCTTTCCTTCCCCTCTGCGCTAGAGCGTGGGTGTGCGGAGGAGAAAACCTGCACCCACAAACAACAGGAGGAAGCCAGTAATCGGAGTCGAGGCACTCCGAATGATCCCAGGCAGCGGGGGAAGAAAGACAGCCTGAGAAAGCCTGACAGGAAAGGCTCGGATGGGACCGAGATGTCACAAAACTCAGTCGAAACTTGAGGGAAAAGTTCTAGAGACCTGAAGCGCGCTCTTGATGATGCTTCCTGTCAAATCAAACAATAGCAGAAGAGAGGGATCTTAAAACAGACACTTACCAGCAAGTCGAGCGTACATGCAGCGTGTCGGGCTCTACAGCGTCTCTATGTCCATAATATAATGTCTCACGGTGTCCAGGTGTCCACAACAAAAGACGTGAAGGAGTGAACACGGGAGGGCAGGAATGTCAAGGCTCTTAGTGAAACAGCCTCTTTCTGTTTCCTCTGTTCATTTAGAGTCTACTTACACTAAGTTGGCAATGCCTCTTTGCGGGAACAACTTGTTTCACGATTCCCCAAATGTCTGAAGCTGCAAGCGGAGGAAGAAAAGGAGAGAAAAGAGAGAGAGTGTCAACTTAACCACTGATTTCTAGTCGTGTCCTCTTTTGGAAGGCCAAACAAAGTAGTTTCGCTTTCACAGCGTCACACGCAGCGGGCTAGAGTGAGCAGAGGCCGGCTTGAGTGAGCGGCGGTGTGATGGCCCCGGGCTGGACTCTGCTTCGTCAACGGTGAAAGCCGATCCGGTGATCCACAGCGTGATGTCTGAAGCTGCAAGCAGAGGAAGAAAAGGAGAGGAAAGAGAGAGAAGAGAGAGTGTGTGTGTGTGTGTGTGTGTTTGGTGCTGAAGGGAGGGCTGGGGGGTTCGGGGAGGTGGGAGGGACACGCTCTAAAGAGGCCGGGGCCATCTATGCCAGACAATAGCAGGAAAATGAACATCAGACGCTAAAAAGCAACAGTCAGATTATTAGAAAGTGCTAATAACAACTACAGGGAATGAAATAACAACAGAATGAATGTTGTTGTTGCACTTATTTTGGAAGATTTAGATATTTCATCTTTTTTAAGTGTTAAAGGGGTGTTGTTGATGTTGCTAAAAAAAACATTATTTTGTGTATTTGGTGTAATGCAATGTGTTTATGCGGTTTAAGGTTAAAAAAAC